CACAGTTTAGATTAAACCCTGTCCATGAGTTTAATTGCCCCGGTCAGTCAACATCTGAATCCATTTGAGCGTTTTTGGAAAACTTGATTGTTGATGTCCACAAATACTTTCCAACTAATTTCATTGAGCATAAGATTTTATTTATTCATTTATTTATTAAGAAAAGTTGGCAACATTTCAGCGTCTAAATTCATAGTTGGACTGACATGTTGCTCTACAAGGTGTCCAGATGAATCTTTCAGCTTTTTATTTCAACACCATGCGTTATTTTGGTCCCACTTCAAAAATATCTGCTAGTTTGGATACGTAAAACCCAACTAAAACACATTAAGGCTTTAAGTTGTATCACAAGCTCAAACATGTCAAATGTCATCCTTTTGCAAGGCAATATATATCGAGAACATTGGGAACGGATGTGGATTTTACTATAAAACCGTAACGAACTGAGCTTGATTTTCATAGGACAGGATCCCCAAGTTTTAAATTATGGAAGAAGCTAATTGCTTGGAACATCCATGCCCCCAAAGTGACAGAAAAAGCACCACTCAAGTTAAAAAGAACTCTCCTGCCCTTCTTGTCCCTATAAACTTTCTCAGCGTTTAGTCATGAGCCTGCCATTTCCTTACCCCTTTGTGCTCTCTCCCTCCTAAATTACTGGAAGGTGATATACAGCCTGGATATCCCAAGGCTAAAGGAGATTTAGAACTTCGTCCCACATGAAGGAGAGGTGAGAAAAGACATTACTATGCAGAATAGGTAATATTGAAAATGCCCGAGCACTTTAGGGTGGCCTGTGCAGATTATCAATCTATTTGTGTAACTTGGCTACCCAGAATTTCATTTCCCTTTTCATTTATTTGCCTTGCTGCGGCCGTTTACAGTGCTGAAACTGAAAATTGAAGCCATGACGAGCAACCAGGCAATATTCCAGGGGAAAATAGGCCTCCCCTGCTGTTTGATTGCAAAGGTTCATTTGGAGGGACAGGGGAGGGGGCGAGGGAGGGGGATGAAGTGACCTCTTTTTGATGAGCTCAGAGGAATGTTTGGAGAAGTGCAGGGAGTCCATGCATGATCATCTACACCTTGTTAACAAAGCCTACGCTAAATTCATAGTACCCCCCCTCCCCCAACCCCCCACTCTCTCTCTGAATAGCAACACCGGTTTGTGCATTTGAATTAAGAACCAAGGACAGAGGCAAATGGTGCTCACCACTGCTTGATAGCAGCTTCACAACCATAGACAGAGTCTTATCCCAGCCAGATTTCTCCCATTGAGAGCTTTGTTACGAGATGTAACGAAACTCGCACCAATTAAATTGTTCAACGTGATCTCACTGATTGCGGCAATAATTCGTATGCGGTGAGGGAAGGGGGGGTTGGGAGAAAATCGCTGAACAGGTTTTAAGATCGCTGTGTCCTTATTAAGGTGCAAATGATTTCCACGATCCTCCGCAGAGTCAGATTATACCCCCAAACAGACTGACAAGAGTACAGTTTGGAGAGCAAAAAAAGCCCTCTGTTACTTGTCTCGCTCGTTAATTTTGAGTTATTAATATCAGTCCGATGGGCTCGCCCGATCAAAGCCGTCGCGTGACCTCGCAGGCGGGTCGTGTCGCGAGCCAGCCGTTGAGGGAGCCATCACGGAAAGCGTATCTTACATAATCATCATGGCAGTACCCACTGAACATAATTACAATGATTTGTGCCCTCCCGATTCCTTCTCTCTCCCTTGTATTAAGAACTATTGCTGGAGGTAAGTCAGGCGTGAGCGCCGAGTGAGACCGCTGAGCTGAACGGAGTGTGGCCCCCGGGGAGGGCTGAGAGGACAGAGCGGAGCATGGTGTCATGCCTAAAGAAAAGCCAAGCTCCGTACAGCAGTTCCCCTTACCCGGACCTCACAACCCCCCCAAACCCCCAACCCAACCAATAAAAGTGTTGGGGCTCAGTCATGGCATGAGAATGGGATGACATTACTGGGCCATTTAGCTGGCAGAAGAGCAAAAAGAGGAGAGGGGGGCGCTGTGATACCCATCAGCCTTTTGTAGCCTAATGGTTCACTAATGTCTTAGTGGTGTCTGGTGGTATGAGGGGCTAAATATTCCTGGAAAAAGTAGCATTATTTAACAGAGTTTCTTTAATTTGGGCACGTTTTGTGTAATGGTGTGGTCATCCACATGGCTTTTCTCATGTGGATGACCACATGAGAAAATAAACTATTAGATTTTGACCAGCTGCGATAAGACAAATATATTCTATTTGCCATAGAAACTTTGAAAGTTCAACAGCGTAAAGTTGGTAGATTACACTAAGTTTTCAAAGTGTGCTAGGTTCTCAATGTTTTTGTTTTTTTGTTTGTTTGTTTTTTTGTTGCTATAATCTGATTTTCACACATGTAATAGCCTATTTGTCATTTTATGTTCAATCAATCAAACTCAACTCCAAAATATCTGCACAATTAAGGGTTTATGCATGTATTTAAAATTCAATCAATCAATTAATCAAATGAATTTTAATTAGGAAAATTAATTTCCTCATTTAATCGATGAAGAAATGATGTTGCTCGATAAAAATTTTACAACCTATAAACTCAGATAAATTTATGGTTTAACACATTAAGTAACTCATGTCTAATGGACAGAGATGCCTCAGCTGGGTTCTGCGTGGCAAAACGACCAGCAGGCACAGTTTCATTCATAGAAATACCATTTTTTATCCTACATGTAAAATAGGAACAACAAATAGTTAGTAGATGAGCAAAAAACACTTACTGACATGCTAATAAACACGTTGAATCTGTATTAACAAAGTGTGATATACAACTTTTCTTTTTTAAGAATCTGAGCTCACAAATTAGACAATATTATCACCGTTGCTAAGTCAGCTAAAGTTAGCCACAAACCTAAACTCCTCCTCCAGCACAAAAACATTGTCAACCACATGAAGTTTAACTAAGTTGACGTAGTCCTTAATGATGCTACATCGTCTTCTCTGTTTATACTCATTCAACAATGAATGAGTATAAAGGTTGACAAACTGACATCTTCAGGTAAATTGTACTTAAAATGTTTACGTAGGATTTGTAACCAGAAAAAAAAAAAACTTCATCATGTTGGGTTTAAAAAAGAATTACTTTTACACATCATCACAAAAATGGATCCTCTGTTCCCTTTGGGAGTTAGACAGTGAACCGACTCTCTCGGGGAATAAAACAGAGTTCCCAAATACGCAGAAGAAACGATAGCACTATTACAGAGCCAAAATAAAACACAGAAGGCTACCTGATCCCAAGCTACTGGGCGTTTACGATGTTGGTCTTTGATATGGAAAATGTGGCGGCTTTCTGCACAGGGTGACATGACGGTGCCATGAGGCCAAAAAAAGGCGTTTGCCTGTTGTGCACCATCTGGGCTCCTCGTTGCTTGCTTTCATGTCCAGTGCATGTGAACAGACACATAGGATGAACACTGGAAGGAGACATAGCTGTTCTCTGTGTGTGACATGGAAACTGGCACACCTTATGATTCGGCATTAGATTAGAGAGGCTACTTCAGATCAACATTTAGGACCATCTATCTTATAGAATCAAACATGGAGAACCAACATCTAGTTTTATCAAATCATGAATCCAGAGAAACCCCTACTAGTTTATAAAATGCTTATTCTTACTAAACATGAAGAACCAATATCCGTAGTTCTATACTTTTATTTTTCTCTTGCTTTTCTTTTATTTTGTCTGGATGTCCTCTAACATGTGAAGCACTTTGAATTGCCTTATTGCTGAAAGTGTGCTATATAAATCAAATTATCTTACCCTACCTGGTCTTGCTAAAAAAAATAAATAAAAAATCCATCTAATCTATCGAGTTTGGTATTCTGTGATAAATTTTAAAATGAAAATGACATTCTGCAGAAGTGGCTTTGTTGCAGGAGTGGGACAGTGTGTTTGGTTATCAGTCGGGTGGCAGAGGAAGGGACTCGCCATGGAGGAAATGCAACTGGTTGTTTCTGTTTCAACCTTCTTGCTTTACTTTTTGTATGAAAAAATAAAATAAAATTGCACATTATTGTGCATTTCAGATCTCCATGCCCCCATCTTGATAGAAAGAGATCTCACGTCCACTGTGGTAGTGGAAGAAAAATACCTTTTTGTCTCGGTTAACAATGAATGTCCGGTAGATACAGTTCCACCACAGAACTGTATGTACTCTGGAAGAGTGTGAATAACACATTCATATAAATCTAAATGTATCACTTCATCTTCATCACTCCATTAAAACGTCTATTTGTTCCCTCTTCTTGTGGGATTCCACTCCTTCCTCCGTGTGGCCCCTCTGTACGCCACTCGGCGGTGCTCACAGACTTCCTCTTTCGGGAGAAAAAAAAAAATCAAGCCGTCTATAGTCAACATGACTCTAGATGCTGGAGCTAATAACTCGTCATCTAACCAGCGAGGCGAACAATAACAACACTCTGTGTTTCCTCTGGACTTGAAACGAGCTGTAGGACGAATTGTCACACACTGTTTTCCTCCGAAGGAAGCAAATATGTTGGCTTCGGCTGGCAGAGCTACATTTCAGCACCGCGGAGCTGTCCGCCGGCCAATGGAGAAGCGGGGAGGCAGCGGCTCTCTCTGCTGCTGCTGCTGCTGCTGCTGGAGGAGGAGGAAAGGGAGCAAGAATGCGAAAGAATGTGAACTTAAACGCAACCACTTTAAATCACAATCCACATTTTTCGTGGGTTATGTCTGATGGGATGGGAACATGAGCAAAAGAGTGTTGTTCCTCGCATTTCTCAGTCGGTCTCACTGTGTAACATGAAGTTGGTGCGCGAGCCGCTGTTTGCTCTGGGTTGGAGCACAAAGGACCGTATTCTCTATATTTCTCTATTTATAGACCCTCTTCCCTCGACGGAATGTACCACTGGCTCTTCGCATAAGGAAGAGGGGGAGAGAAAACGGTTCGGTTTATAAATAGTGAGCTTAAAGCGCCCCCCCCCCCCCCCATTTCACTCGAAACTCCCCGCCGCCCTGGCAAGCATTGAGCAGGTCCTGTCCGTTTAAACCGAGAAGACACCCATACCAAGTCCTCAATGCAAAAAAAAATAAAAAATAAAAGGGTGCCAAGAAGCTGGGACGGAGGAACGTGGGTGTAAATAGACAGTGAACGCTGTTGCTCTCTCTCTCTCTCTCTTGCTCTCTCTTTCTCTCTCCCCCCCCCCTCTCTCTCCCCTCTTCTTTCCTCTCTTTCTTTCTCTCTTTTATGAAATCAATGAACGAGTTATTGGGTAAGACATAAATACAAGGAATCAAAACCTCCATCGGGACCAACTGGGCACTGCGCGCTTTTTTTATTTTTTGATATGAGTCTTCGCCGCACGCTACATGTGTTTTCCAATCATTGTAAATACTGGCTTTGATAGGACGAGAGCGGACCCTCTCTGGCACGACTTGGTCTCGGATCCCAATTTTCTTTTTTTTTTTCTTTTTTTTTATATTATTTTTTATTTTTCCTCTTCTTCTTCTTCTTCTTCTTCTTCTTCTTCTTCTTCAAAAAAAGAGAGAAAACGATTCCCCGCCCGTCGCCGTCTGCCGCCGTCGTCCTGTACCTCTACCCAACTCTCACCGCGGCAGGTCCGAAGATGGCAACTTTAACCAACGGGCAGGTGGACGGCGCGGTGCACGGTGTCGGTGTCGTGTCCGCCAGCACGAACGGGCTCGTGAACGGATTAAGCCACAGCCCGGCGGGATGCCCGGCCACCATACCCATGAAGGACCACGATGCCATCAAACTCTTCATCGGCCAGATCCCCCGCAACCTGGACGAGAAGGACCTCCGGCCCCTCTTCGAGGAGTTCGGCAAGATTTACGAGCTCACTGTGTTGAAGGACCGCTTCACGGGCATGCACAAAGGTGGGTCTAACTCCCTCCGGTCCCCTCGAAGGCTCCGGCGAGCGAGGGGGAGGAATCTGGCACACATGACGCACGGATGGGGGACGATTAGTGCGCGAATGTTGGGCAAATTTTGAGACGCCTGAATGAGTTTTTTGGGGGTTGGGGCGTTTGTTTTTAGGGATTTTTTTATTATTGTATTTTATTATTTTTGGCGGCAGATGACAGATCTTTTTTTTCGACCTAGCGCTGCTCTTCAGAGTCACCTTATTGTGCAGAAACATCACGAGAGTGGCCCGAAGAGGGAGTCACGACAGCAAGCGTTATAGAGAGAGTGGATTATGTTTGATTAGCAGAACAGTACGATCTGCTGCCTGTTACACTATCGGTGTGTGTGAGAGTGCGTGTGAAAAGGGGGGAGCGCGTGCTGGGGGGTGGTGGATGGGTGCACGTGCGTATGAACGTGCAACAGCATTGAGAGTGGGCCCATGAATATACAACTGTGGAAAAAAATTAAGAGACAACTATACATTTTTGCTTTGTTCTCTTTATTTTATTGCATTACTGCGTACTATTTTCATCTTTGACTACGAGCTACTGATAAAACATTTTTCCTCAAATTCCAAATAGAATATATTACATTGTCATTTTTGAGCTTTTGTTTGCAGAAAATTACAAACGAAAATGAGAAAAGGCTGTCTTTTAGAGCTCAGTGAAAACAACAGCTGGTGGTATTTGAACGACACTGTTTCCATTTAGGAAGAGATTCTGCTCAATCAATCTCTGGGTGAAAACACCTGCTTTTCAGTCACAGCTTCAATGCCTCGACTCATACATGATCACATAAACCTATCCGTGTTTTGTTTACATCATCTAAGGACTCTGATGAGTTTATTTAACTTTACCCCATTTAGGTTTTGGTCGTGCAATTTAGACCACAATTAAAAAGCTGCACCTTCAGAACAGCAAAGATTTCATGATCGGTTAAGTCCTTTTATTTTGATGCCAGAGAAAGTGGCGGAGAGACCGATGCTTTCTCCAACTGTGTGGCGAATGGAGTAATGCAGCTCTGCCCGTCTCCCATCTGCTGCTGCACACTGCAGATCAGTTGTCTGAAAGAGCTGCTACGTTTTTTTTCTCTCACTTACTACAAACATGGTTTTGTCTATTTGGGAATATTTCTGTTTCTGAAAAACATGGACAGCTGTTTTGTTTAAATTAAAAGAGTATCAGCTAGGGATGCATGATGGGCTATGGGTTATATAAATGGAGAAGATGTTTTGTTTTTATAATGGCAATACAAGTAACGATAAAAAAAGTATTCAAAAATTCATCAGGCTTTTAGGTTATGAACATATTGTGTAGAATGAGGGTCTTACAAAAAGAAAAAAACCTTCTCAAAATGATTGTTTTTCAGAATAAAACAAAAACTATATGGCAATTGTCCAACCCTACTGTCTCTTCTAACTGTTATAAAATTACAGCTAACAAGTTTTGATGCTGTACGTCTAAAAAATAGTGACAACAAATCTGCTACCGGAGCTGATAGCCTGACTAATGAACCAGTTATGGCCATGTTTGTATCTAACAGAGTGGCAAAAAGGAGTTATTTTGTGCATAACAAGCTCTTTAAAAACTTTAGTAAGTTTCTGCCTAAGTTTGTGCAGGAAAATCCAAATAACAATATTGTAATGATTGTTGTATTATTTTTATTAAATATGAAAAATTAATTATCTGTCTTAAATAAAAACTGTTAGATAATGGTATACATTTTGTATTAAAATATGTTTATATCTGATATTTTTATTCAAGGTTAAAATGAAGTCAGACTATTGTACTGGATTATTCCTAGTTTTAGCTTTAAACCTTTTCCAGTGAGCAAACAGAGTCTGGAACTTAATGACATGTTCTAACTTTTCTCACTTTTTATCACATATGTAGAGATCCTGATTTCAAAACTATTCACATTGATTTCTTTATTTTTATTTTTTTAGGAGAAGTTGGATTTCTTTTTCTCTTTCAGTTGTGAGTAGTAAAGATAGACATGTAGTTTCTTCGTCTAAAAACAGAAATCACAGGTGTAATAGTTACTATTCCTGATCATTTTTGATAATCACATTTTCAGCTACAGACATTATTGGCATCAAATCCAACATTAGATTTAGTGTAACAGTGACTCATCTCCTTTTCAGGAGTGACGTAACAGTAGTGGTTCACAAAGTTGGAGTCCGGTCTCCTTGTTGGGCCATAAATCAGTAGGTTAATGAAATCATCTACAGAAATCAAATTAACCAACAAAAACTATTGGTAAAGGCATGTTTATGATGTAAATGTTCCAAGCGATGAACAGTTATATTTAGCAATATGCTGTTTGTTAAATGTGTCAACATTTAGCTCTAGTGTTAAGTAAAGTCAGCGAAGCCTACCAATAATATTCACTAAAAACTAACATCTAATATGAACAATGGTGCTGTGACCCTCTGGTTTAGTAATTAATGACAGTAGTAAATTCTCCCTTGGAAAGGAAATGCAGATCTATTTATATATTTCTGCATTTTAGGCTTTCTGGCTATGCGCACCCATAACTGGTTTACCTCTGTAATTTATATCCTATGACTATTTTTAGCTCAGTTTTCTAACCAGAGCAGATAATATGCAAAAAGTTTTACTCAGACGGGCTTTTTAAAATCAATATCAATGGACCATTATCCAACAAGAGTGATGATGCTTTAACTCTTTTTTATTTTTCTCCCCCAAGGGAAGGGTTATTCTTTGCAAATGGCCATCTAATGAGAGGTCACTAATTGATCTGCTGTACCCGAAAAACATCTCCCAGAGGAGTACAGAGCACGAAGAATGAGCAACCACACTGTAAAAAGTTCGTTTTGGAGAGTATTACATTTTTAGCCATTAAATGTTTTTACGTTTGAGTCCAGCGTATTAGTTTAAAATTGTAACTTTAGTAAGTAAATTATAAGCCTATTTTGGTAACAAATCTAAGAGAGCATATAGATTGGAAATTAAAAGAATAAATTGTCATGTGTAGAGCAGAAAGTGGTAGGGTTGAAATGTTTACATGAAGGAAAGCTTACTAGCAAGCTAAACATTGTAATTCTGAGTTAGCTGTTGCTAATTAATTGCATCTCTGTGTTTGTCATGGAATAGCTTTAGTTGCTATGTTGTATGACTCCATTTAAAAAAGTTTGCATCCAGCCTTAATGGCTAGCAACAACAGGAATGATAAACAGCGTTGCTAAGTTGTTCTTATCAAGACGAAGGTTTGAATCCTCTGCTCTTAGAATAGATTCAAAAAGTTTGTATTCAGCTTTAGCTAGCTTAGCAACAATACTAAGCTTAAGTCCAACTTGAAGGCAAGTTTAGCTTCTTAGCTAGTTGTTGCTAATCTTCACCGTAGCTGTTATGGAAAGGTTTCACTTTCTATTAGAGGACATATTTTAAAGTCTTCCACTTTAAGTGTTTTAGCTGCTACAGGTATTTTCTCCACATATTTTGATCAAACGTCTCCCCAAATACAAGTCATGCAAATAGTTCATATAAAACTGTAGCAGCTTGTTGTGATGTTTAAGCTTTCTCTGTCCAATATAAACAATGTGTAACATCAACCATGTGTTAGGAATAGATTATGATATCCAAACAATTTCAGATGGTTGAGATTGTGTGCAGGCATAGCAAGAAACCAAAGAGGTGGGAGAAGGTGCGTGCAGAAATGTGGGGGGGGGATCTTTTATTAATAGTCCAGCTGTAGTAGCAACTCCCTCTTGGATGGTTAATCACCAGCGGCCCCAGAACTATAGGCATTGCTCGCCAGCTGATTCTAAGAACTGTCTTTTTGCCGCGATATACAGCCCTGCTTCCCAGGCTGGGGCCCCCGCTTTCATTAGTGAGCCCCCGCTGTGCTCATATTTTAACTAGCTGGAGGCTCTATACTCCTTTAGCTTGCCACCTCGCTGGCTGACTGCAAGCTGTTTGAAGGCCGTGTTTCCTTCACTGCCTCTCAACACCTTCCCGAGGTTCCTGTGGAAGATTTCCAAATTAGCAGTAAAAGACAGCACGACCCGCACATTACAGGCAAAGTGACTCACTGCGCGCGCTTCGGTCATATGGCTTTATTGAAGTCTTTCGCTGAATAACGTACACCAGGTAACAAAAGAGGTCGAGAGTAACTGAGTAGAGGCAGAGTTAAAAGAAATATCGGTTTTCAGTGTCATTAAAAACATAAGTACGTTTTTGTCAATTTTATGCTTAAACTCATTGATTCCACGCAAAACAAATTAGCTTCTTTTTTTTCCTACTCAGCTTCACTTTCACTTGGCTTTTTTTGCCTTTTTTTTTTTTCAAACCCTGTTACGATCGGAGTGCAGACAGTATAACTGAGGGCACGATGACCCTTTAAGGTGTGATGTGCTCCATTGGAGTGAAGTCTGTAGGACTGCTCACCAGAAAGCCCCTCCTACCATCCTCCCCTTCATTTTCCCCCTCTTTCATTAACTCTGCTTGACAGTGTTCACTCTTTTCTTTTCCCTCTCTTTCTGTGTCTTTAAATCATGCGCCGGTGTGGCGCCCGTTCAGTTGCGGTGCACTGTGCTTCGTAATGGCTGTGGCAGCCTCCCCGTTGCTGCCGGAGATCGGAGATGCTCGCATAAATTTCCTTCTCGTTTTTTTTTTTTTTATATATATATAATTGTGTCTTCAAGCGTGCAACTTACGGTGACTGACTTTTGTTAACTATATCGTCACTCATCATTTGTGTAATGAGTTCATTTAACTTTATTGTAAGTTTTATGAAGAAGCTTTGTTTGTTAAAAGCTATTGGATGAGTTACTGGGATCAAGATATATCAAGGTTCGGTGGAATTAAGCTTTTAAAATAATAAAAATGTTCTGTCCCTAAAGCTTGAAGTCAGAGAAAGTGACCAAAGTTTTTTTTTTTTTTCTACAGCTTGAAGCTTAAAGTCAGCTGGTTTGCGGAATTAAGGCAAAATGAGTTCTTTGAAAATATTT